GGGGAGGTGGGGGGCAATGTGTTCCAAAAACTAGTTGCAACATTTTCTTTGACTCCAATTGGTAGATCACGAGTGCTGTTAATTTATTCAGGAAAAATAGCACTCTTAGTCCCTCTATTGTTTGGCATTATGTAATATGGGACATGGTTTTTGGATTTTGTGAGCATGGTCTTTCATATCAATTGTGTTAATGTGTTATCATTGAGATCTTTACTTAGTTCCTCCTGATAAAATCACCATAGAATGCCGAGAATGTATACACAAGCCCTAGTATTTAATGGCGTAAATGGTAATTTTAATGAGAGGGACAAATTCTAACTAAATTAGTGTCTAAATCTGCAAAAGTAAGGCGTGTTCTTGATTACATAAATGGTTGAACAATTGGAGGACTGAAGTGTGGTTTTCTCTTAATTCTATTGTTGTTTCATCCATTATTTTTAAGGACAAAGTTGTGATTTATCGTATTTTTGTGTAAGTTGCTCCCCGCTTGTATGATTAACTTTTGAAGTGCAGTTTGCATGTAGCTGCTTGACTTGTTCGGGAATTCCCGTCATATCTTGTATCTTGCTCTTGGGTTTCAATATTATATCAACATGTTACCCATATGTCTTTCTTCCCTCATGGTTTGTTGTGGCAGATGGATGCTCGAAGCCTTGCCATGGAAATGGCTCCGATCATTATGTGGCAACAAGGAAGGAGTCCAGACTATTATAAACAGTTCTGGAGCAGCTTACCAAAAAAACATTCAAAGACAGAATCTGATTCTAACTATAGCACATGGGATATGCTTGCAGGTGAATGATAAATTCTTATATTGCATTCTTGTTTCTCAGGCTTCATTCGATCCCATTACTACTGAAATTTGTTGTGTGAAAGATTTGTTCATGAAAACAAAACACGAAAATTTTTGTAGGAAAATTAGAAAACATTTTTGAAGAAAATGTAACCAAACGGAGCCTGATACTCTCCATCATAATTACTATTTTGCACTTATCATGTGATAGTCAAACTTACTAAATGATTTTTTTTGTTGTGGTACTACCTTATTGGGCATTTAGATGAGGATGAAAGCACAGATGCTTCATCTCCCATACCTTTGGATGATGGCTTGCCTGTTGACTTTGGTGCAATAGAAGTTCTTCAGTGCTTGATTGAGCATCATAATGCAATATTTACGGATGCAAACGAGACGGTTTGGAGGTGACAAAGCACCTGGCTTCATCTCCGCTTACCCTCTTGGGATCATTGCAATAACTTGGGCAGAATTATAAGCCAATGTGAGACAACTATCATCTGTGCATTCTTACATATTTTCAGGGTTAGCATTGTAATTTTTTTTTTGTTTCTTTGCAATGGTGATAGGAGGTTAGAGTCTGATTATAAGAAAAATAGTTTTTGTTTTTTGACATCTTTGGAGATTGAAGATGATTGGTTTTACTTCTGTGACAAATAGCCAACATGATGGGGGGACATAACCACAATCCTATCCCCCTAAATTTTACTCCCTATGTAGTTATGTTATTTGTACACCATTTTTTGACACCATTGTTCACATCAAGCTTGGACAAACAAGACTTTTGGTCTCACACACATCCTGTTGTGAGTCTTGGTGCCATGGCAGTGTGTTTACTGTGTGAACCCAAAGTGATAACTTTTTCACGCCAAGTTTAGTTTGCATAGATAATAATTTTGCCCTCACATATATTCTGGTCACGTTTGTGACTATGGAAACAAAAAGGGGTGTGGGCATAAAAAGTGAGATAAATGTTATGCAAACACAATTTTCCTTTTCATATATGCATATATGTTTTCTTGCTGTTTATTTTAGGGAGTACTCCGTACTACATAATTCACATTGTTTTATTAATTTTTGTTCACTATATTTATGTGATTAATCTCTGAAATTATTTTTGTTTTCCAACACTATGATTAACGGGATTAAAAAAAAAGTGATCGAAATTTGATGTTTAAATAGTGAATGATTTTTTTATGAGATACCCGAATATTTACTTACCAGGCTCATCTCAAAATGGACTATAAACATTTAATTTATGGAAAAAAATATGGACCTATGAATATGAAATGGTTTTCCATTTTCTCTTGTGTTTATTTTGTGGGGCAATTCACATTGTAATCAATTGCTACCTTATGGGTAAGCTTGAAAATGTGTGTTTGTCACGGACGAGTTGGATTTTGGAAGTCAAAAACCTATTGAGGATGAAAGTAGAAATACGAATTCAAGAGGTTAACAATTACTACGTATTAATGTTAGTCATTCTTAAAAACTTGATTGTGACTCTTCAACTTGTTAATTGCTATGAATATGTTCTTGGGTTCTTGTGTGGTGCTAAGGTGACAGTTTGGGAGAAAGACGTTTAGGAGTAATTTTCATATTGAAATTAGAAGTATCATATACTCCTATTTGATTTCAACCTTATATTTACTAAATTTAATTTCGCCCTTCTCTTACACTATTCTGTAACCATTAAGGAGTACAAAGTACCAATTTAGGATGAAGTTTTTATACTGGATTATAGTTAAGGAAAAAAATAAGGGAGAATCAAAATCCCTCTCTCACAAATATGTCACTCTACATTATTTAAAATTCATGATAATTTTTGCTTACTTATATTTTTTCATTGTTAATTTGATAACATAAAATATTGGTGTCATATCTTATTTTGTAGAACTTTTGACGAAATTTATAAATACTCCATATGTAAGAGTTGCATTTTATTTCTATGTCAAGTTTTGAATAAAATTAATTAAAAAACATGAGATTTTTATAATTTTGCATTGGCATCCATTGTGAGACGGAGGAAGTATCTAACTAACTCTAATTCATTGATGATAAATTGATAATTTAGCTTTAAAAATATAAAAGAAGTATTTTAGATGAAATCCAAATTTGAGGATAAAAATAGTGAATTTAATTAAAATAAAAGTAAACTCAAGAAAAAACAAACTAGGGATGAAGTAAATCAAGCAATCTAATTCTAAAAGCACTTTTTACAAATGGCGTGCGTTATTGAACAAATGAGCTTAGGACGAAAATTTCAGGAAATTCCATTTAGAGCGTTGACGACAAAGATCAATACCCAGATTTGTTGTTTTCTTCCTGGTAAGCGGGTGGGATTTTCTGCTCAAATAAAAAATCTGAAAAAAGCCGCAAACACACAATTCCAAATGATGGGGAGCTACGGCGGTTCATCACCGGCGGGAGACTCTTATCCGATTGCTGATGTTGATTCTCAAGGCTCAGTCTTGAGCTCAAATCTCTTCTTGGACGGCGTCGGCGAGGTTGTTGTCGCCCTTGATTCCGACGGCTTGTCTTGGGGATCACCTGAATCTATGTCTAACGTAAGCTTGTACATTGAAAATGTGATTTTTTCCCCCTCCATTTCATTCCTTTTTGTTTTGTCCAACCGAGATTTATTTCTTGAGTGATCCGAAGAAGATGATGATTCATATATATGGTTCTCTTGCCACGTTTGAGTAGTTGGTGTTAATGTTTATGAAAATATGCGTGTTTTTTCTACAAATTGAGCTCGAAGAGCTGTAAATGGCAGTCTGGAAGAAGAAATGCACTCTATTTGTAGGTTGCCCTTTTTTCTATAAGTATCTGTCTATCTCTAACTAGGCCTCCTTTGGCTGCTATTCTTCTGTTCTCTAGTTATATATGGTTGTTTTTTTTTTGTTTTTTGTTTTTTTTTACTTTTCACTGTTTTCAGCGTTACTAATCATATAATGCTAACATTTTCACCCTATGTAATATGTATGACAGGAGGAGGATCAATCTCTTTGTTTAGGATTAAAACTATTCCGCAGATGTGAAACCAGTGTGAAATTTTGTGATGTATATGCTGTTGAGTATAATGGTTGGGGCGTGGTACATGAATCTTCTCTTCAAAGTGCTGCTCGGTTATTCTCTGGCCATTCATTTGAGGTTCATTTTCTCGTTCTCTTATATTGCCAAACAATGGGTTATCGTTCTACTCCTCTCCTTATGTCTTAGTTTGGTTTGAATTTTTTATTTGACACATCAGATGTATCGGTTTTCTGTACATTACGCTCAGAAGTCAAGAAACTGCAATAGTGTTTTGGCCATGTCACGCTATAACTTTGGCCACAAGGACCTGCTGACTTGCCGGGTGTGGGTTAATCGGATCAGATCTTTGTTAGGCTTGCAGGGGGGGCGACCTAAAAGTCTTCTGGTATGTGTTAAGTGAGTTGTAATGCTACCATAAGATTAATTACTTTTCGGAATTTAGTAATATAGCCCTCTTATTACACTCTTTCCATCATCTCCGATGGAGCCAAAATTTCACCTGTTTTTGGCTTTGGGGTGTGATGGAATAAATCAAAATGGATATCTAAACTATTTGCGCTTCTTTAATTAATGAAGTAGCAGTTAGTCAAGCAATGCAACTTTCGACGTTGAGCCGGGGGTCTCTTTGGAAACAGCCTCTCTACTTTCGAGTAGGGGCAAGGTCTGCGTACACACACCCTCCCCAGACCCTACTCTTGTGGGATTTAACTGGGTTGTTGTTGTTGTTGTAGCCCTCTTATTACGCTACAAATAAGATAAATCTGTAAGATTTTTCCCAGACTCCGTTTTTGATTGACTAGGTTTTTGTTAATCCAAGGAGTGGGAAGAGAAATGGGTGTAGAACATGGGAAGCTGTGGCTCCTATATTTTCACAAGCTGAAGTGAAGACAAAGGTAACTTCTAAGCTTCTTTTCTGTTACTTCTTAGCGGGAATGGAGCTAGGCCTAAAGTTCAATGGTGTCGAGACCACGGACTTAACATTATTTTATATTTTTCTAAGCACCAGGGTTCTTTTGACACCCAACTCTGGTGTCTTAATATGCCACTAGGTCCATTTGAGGGCTCTGCAGTGCTTCATTTGACCCCGAAGTGGTTCCTACCCCTCTAACCCCGTAGGGCCCTCAAATGGACTGATTTCACAAGAGTATAAACAAATATTAGTTTCATTTATAAGAATTTAATATTCTGAATAACATATTTTAGAACAATGCATGTTTAAAATCTATCCTCAACATTCTTCGTGTAGGTCACTGTAACAGAGAGAGCAGGACAAGCGTTTGATGTAATGGCATCCATCTCAAACAAGGAGCTTAATTCATATGATGGTGTGGTAGCTGTTGTAAGTGAAATAACTTTCTATTCTATATCGTTAGTTTTCGAAGCACAGCTTGACTTAAGGTTTGAACAAATAGATTAAGAATGCCATTTAATAGGTACAAAATATACAAAATGACTATCCAACCCTTAATTGAAAGTTGAAAAAAGTACTCCATAATTAGTTATATCTTCAAAGCCCAAGAAGGGTTAAAGTTGTAAAAAGAGTAATTAATGCTCTTGGTAATTTGTTATAAGCACATTTGTGATATGATAGAGTGTACGCGGAAGAGAATCGTCCTTGTCAAAACCCTAGAGACTCAAACCTGTCAGTTTTATATAATCAAGGCTTATCAAGCTTGGAATTGTATTTCCTTATTTGATTAAGTTTGTGGAAAGTAGTCTTGCTTCTCGAATTGCTGGAAGTAGTCTTGATTCTAAAATAGCTTGTCTCATTGAGCCATTAATGCTTACTCCATTGTTTAGAAGGGCCTTTGTACCAATCATTTGAAGTATGAAATGTAGTCTCTGAACTTTTCTTCACAAAGTTTTACTCCCCAATGTACACTATTTGTAATATTATCAATGTGCAAGTAACTCGAGTGATAATCAATTTCAATAATGTTCTTAAAAATATTAGTGCTTCTGGGTGCTTCTTGTCTCTGTGCCCGCATCACTTTGTTCGTGCTACTGTGTTTACATTGTCTGTGCTCCTTTATTTAAGCCAGGGGTTCTTGTAAACAACCTCACTAATTCCAAGTAGGTTAAAGTCTGCATACACACTCCCTCCCCAGACCCAACACTTTGTGGGATTTTACTGGGTTTGTTGTTGTTGTAGAATACCAATACGAATAGAAAACTCTTACTAATATTCTAATACTAATATTATTTACTGCAATACCAGGGTGGAGATGGGTTCTTCAATGAAATCCTCAATGGCCTTCTTTTGTCCAGGCATAAAGCTCCATACCCACCACACCCAGCAGAATCTATTCAACCTGTCAACGATGGTTGCAATGTGACGGTCCATGATACAGATGGAAACATAGCAGAACCTTCTGATAATAATAATAATAATAATGAAGACCGCTCCCCTCTTCTCCCTCATTCTGAGCTTGATGGAAGGCAAGGTACAAACATCTCAGCATGTAAATTTTACTCGCAGTTTCTCTTCTGCACGATGTAAATGTCTGCAAAATTGTTGTCATACAAATGTATTGATGTTTGCAGGAGTCACTTGCAAGGGAGGTTAGTTAGTTTACTGTTCACGGCTGTCAACTGAATTTGTGGGATATATCATTCAAGAAGTCTTCTTTCATCTGTCATTCCTATAAACAACAACTTGTTAACCAAGCTTTCGTTTAGATCTTGCTTCATTTCTGAACTTTGGTTTTGTCATGGTTTGGACAAACAGATGGGGATTCTTTTTTATTTCCGAATGAACATTTCAGGTTTGGGATAATTCCAGCAGGATCAACCGATGCCATCGTTATCTGGTATTTGACTGACTTTTATTAGCTTGTGTATTTAGGTCCTTAGTGTCATTCAATCTATATTTTATATACAATATAATGATTTTTTCACTTACGGGTTTTCAATTAATACTCCCTCCGTCCCCAAAAAAATTTACTCACTTTGACTTTCACGGAGTTCACGAAAAGTGTTGAGTGATAAGTGTATGGTTGCCACATGTTCATTATTTCATTGCTAAAAAAGGAACTAAAGTAGGTGGGAAGTGTTTTTTGGGACATCCAAAAAGGAAAAGTGGGTAAATATTTTTGGGACGGAGGGAGTATGTAAGTAAAGCAACCCTTTACTGTAATGCTTGTTCTTTCAGAGCTATATATGTTCCTTCGATCAAGAATCTTCAAATGAGAAGTAAATCAGAATTGCCTTTTGTTTTGAAAAAGTCACATTAAACTTCCCTTGCTTCTTACTCTATAAAGTTTTGGACATTAAATGCAGCAATGCATCTAGGGTCTAACAGAGACAACCTCTCTGATGTTACAGTGGTAAGATTGCGTACATCTTGACCCCCATTGTTGTTTAAAAATTCAAATGGCTTTGGCTTCTGCAGTACCACAGGTGCTCGGGATCATATAACATCTGCATTGCAAATTGTGCTTGGCAAAAGTGTCTGCCTTGATATTGCTCGAGTTATAAGATGGAAATTATCATCCACCTCAAAGGATGATGAACCCTCTGAGCGCTATGCAGCCTCCTTTGCTGGGTATGGATTTTATGGAGACGTAATCACAGAAAGTGAAAAATATCGCTGGATGGGCCCAACAAGATACGATTTTGCAGGAACTAAAGTATTCCTCCGACACAGGTATATGCTTACTAGGATTTCTCTCTTCAATACGAATGTTTTTCATTACTCCCTCCATCCCATAAAAAACTTCCTACTTGGAATTTCACGAAGTTTAGGAAAAGTGAAAATGATTTTTGTTTATAGAATATAATTTTTGTGAGCCATGTGTTCATTTCTTTAAAAGGAAATAAAGTAGAAATTTTCTTTTGGGACATACAAAAAGGGAAAGTAGGAAGATTATTTTTGGAGCATTCATAAGGACCTTTATAGTATTTCTTTCTTGAAGCTCATATGAAGCAGAAGTCACATATTTGGAAGCTGCAGATTCAAAGAAAGGCGAAGAGGGAGGTGTAGCGGGTAGTAATAGGATGAAAGCAGCACTTGCACGTAAGAAGCAGGAAAGAAATGTTTGCCGTGTGAACTGCACTGTTTGCAACTCAAAAGCTAGTGACACATCAGCAGGGAAAGAGGAGAGACCGGACGAAGAGCCATATTCGTCAAGAAAATGGTTGAAGTCTAAAGGACGGTTTCTGAGTATAGGTTGTGCAATAATATCTTGTCGCAACGAAAAAGCTCTCGATGGACTTGTGGCCGATGCTCATCTTTCAGATGGTTTCTTTCATCTTATATTGATCAGAGATTGCCCTCATGCTTCTTATTTATGGTCTCTTTCTCTCTCTCTCTCTCTCTCTCTCTCTCTCACACACACACACACACATATGAGGGATACTAAAATGACAACCCATGTTACCCCATGGGTTACACACTTACACACCTCATGTGAAACACTCACTTCGGATTTTAATCGTCCACGTTCTCGCTTTTGTGCATCGAGATGTAGGTTCTATTGATACCCACCTTGCGTGTCATATTATGACACCAACCATTAAGGGTCTGGGTCCCGAAGTTGTTCTTGCTGCACTAGCCCCCCCACCCCCCGGGAAACACCAAAATGCTATAGGGGGATGAGGGTTAGAAGGGATAAGACCCACTTCGAGGCCCAATGGAGCACTGTAGCACCCATGTGTCATACTATGACACCCAAAACCAGTGTCAAAAGAACCGTGGGGAACAAATTATGGAGTATCTAAAATACCGATTAGATAACATATTAGTATTGTTGACATCAATGAAAGGCACACTCTTTTAAAGGGAGCTTTCGATATCTTATTTGACATCAATCTATTTCCCCATATCAATCTATACTGATGACAACAATACGCGCAGGCATCTTACGCAGCTAGCAAAAAAAGGCGGGAATCCCTTGGATTTTCAATTTGTTGAACACTGCAAGGTATTGCTTCATTCTTACCATACCTTGAAGTTCCTCTTTGTTGTCCATTGAAGCACTCACTGTCTACATGCATCACATGCAGACTAGGGCTTTTACTTTCACTTCTTTTGGAAAAGAGAGTGTGTGGAACATAGACGGCGAGCCATTCCGGGCCCATCAACTGTCGGCCCAAGTTTTCCGTGGCCTCATCACTATGTTTGCTACTGGGCCTGAAGTTTAGCTGCTAAGAATGGTGTGTGCTTTTACAAAATGTTTTGCTATGTGGTTCTTGAAATGGATCTTCACACAGTTCTGACTTGGCATAGTTGATTGCTAAGCCCTCACTTTCTACCCCCATCTGGGCTAGGCCCGTTGGACCAGTCTGCTCGGCAATACAACCGAGGTTGTCGGGCTGAGAATTTTTTGGCCCGATCTGAAGCGGACCTAAGAGGGCCAAGCCCAAACAAGCTTCTGAATGAAATGAGCTCATCTAAGTCTAGTTTTATTGAAGTACAATGAATGCTTGTAGCTGAAAGAAATATCAAAATTTCTATTTTTCTATTTGTATTGGTCTAAATTTCTCTTCCATTTTCTCTTTAAGAAAAGTTTTTTGTGGTCAGTATTATTTTCCTTTTCTCTACACAAACTATAATTGCACAAGTTTTACTTTATTAAAAATCAAGTCAATCTCATACACGAAGATAATTTGGGACGAAGGGAGTAAAAATATGCGTGCATATCATGTAATTTTTCAATACTCTTTGTCCTAAAATAAACTTCATGATTTGACTTGACATAGTTTAAGAAAACGTTGAAGAATAAAAAAACGATTTGAGCCATAACTCAACATTTTTTTTAGGAAATTAAAATAAAAAGGATATGAAGATTATTTTAGAATGGATAAAAAAGAGAAATGAAAAATAAAAGGTTATGTATATTGCTACGTTTTTCATGTGGAAATTGTAGGTATGTGTTTAATTTCATGGATTATGACAGAAACAAAATGCCATTTTTTTTTGTTAAAGGATAATAACATTGGGCCACCCCACATGTTCTCTGAGAAATGTTCTTCTTACACTATATGTCTCTTCCTTTTGTTCCGTAAATTTTTTTTTTTGCGCGGAATTTAAAAAAAGATAAAATTGGGTACATAGCCAAGGACTAATTCCATTTTTTTAAAGATAATATTTGACAGAAATGACTATTATATTCTGAACAAGCATCGTTTTATGTATACGCCACTCGCATTGAGCAGTGCAAGGGACAACAATGTGACTTTCTGTGCAGTGCAAGATTTCACATACCAATGTGATTTTAATCTTCCCTTCTAACACTATGTTTGATTCGTGGAATTTAAAAGGAAAAGAAAAGAAAGAGATTTTCTCTCCTTTTCTTCACTAAAAAAGAAGGAAAATCATTTTCCTTCTTCTTAGTGCATTTTTTTCCCATTTTCTTTTTCTTCTATTTTCTTTTTTTCTCTCTAACCAAACAAGAAAAGTTTTCTCTTTTTCTTTTCTTTTCCCTTTCTAAATCTTGAATCAAACATAGTGTAAATGAGTGCAATTTTAGGCATTTTGGGAAGGTGAGTTCATGCAATAATACGGAGTATTAGTTGTATAACTACGACTCCCCTCAATCACACTTAAGAATTATGATTTTTCTAGATACATCAAAAGTTGAATGAATTTAGATGTGATGTATGTCAGTATTCATTCAACTTTTGATATATTTCACAAAAATCATAATTCTCCTTTAAATGTGAATAGAAGGATTATAAATTAACTCTATACGTTTGTTGGATTTTCTAATAAATTAACTCATTACCTTTGAAATGTGCAATGGAATTAAAGTGTCTAGAATCATATTGAATTCTAGTCCTACAACTTGTCACACATTCATGTGATTAACCATTTAAATTATTTTTATTTTTTGGCACTGACTAATGAAATAAAAGTGATTCAAACATGATCTTTAAATAGTGGTTGAGAAAAATTTTATGAGACAGAGAGAATACTCACTTGCCATACTCATCTCAAAATGCACTTTAAAGTCTAAACTTTTAATTTATGGGAAAAATATGGACTCATGAATGTAAAAAAAGTATTGCTAAATCTACCATATTTTTTGTTAAACCATCTTATTTCTGAGAACTAGACAAATTTATCCTTAAATTAAAGTTACATGTTACTCTCTTTGTTAAAATTTTTAGAATAAATTTATAAAATTTGAAATAAATGGGACAAATTTAGCTAAAATGCGAGTGGAATTAGCAACAATTCAAATGAAAATCCAATCATATGAAGCAAAATTAATTTAGGATTAGTTCCAACTTCCAACTAATACTTTCAATTTCCCTGC